AACATAAAGGAAAGAGAACTGGCTTGGAATATCCTCAGTCTTGAAATCTTTCATACTGTTTCGAGGCAGATGTGGGCCTTTATATGTCTCTAAAGACACTCCATGGTAAAAGGACAAAAACTGATGTGTTCAGAAAATTGTGAGAGGACTGGAAATTTTGGTTAACATGTTCCTTGTATACAAAGGATTGAACATAGTAATTCTATTGACATCTAATTGCTGGCATGTGCAGGCTGATAAGTGTTACCAAATGCCTTCCTAAATAAGTGTGGGGTGGTGTGGACAGAAATATTTCTCTTTTGGCTAAATGGTGAAAGGAGTAATCTATTAAGAGAATTATTCTCACAGGCTGAATGCTAATTGATTTTATGTGCATGTCAAGAAGCCAATCAATGGCAGATTTGTAGTAAAATAGCACAGCAAAGAATAATATACGAAGTAGATTGAAGTCAAATGTAGAAAACATGTGACCTTATCACTGAAAATATCTAGTTAAGTGAACATAATTTTTACCAGTTTGGTACCCATAAACTTCACTGGAGTATCTTCAATTTCATTGTGAACATGTACATGTGTGTGCATGTAAAAAAATTTTTAACTAAATAAAGTCAACATTATAACTTCATAACCTTAAATTTTTTTATTGAAGTGAAATTTATGTAATACAAGTTAACAATGAACAAAGTGTATATTTCAGTGACATTTAATATGTTCACAATGTTTTGTAATTACCACTATCCTGTTTGAAACTATATAGTTCCCAAAATTGAAAACAACCCAAATGTCCATCAGTGGATAAATGAATAAACAAAATGTGATATATCTATATGACTGAATATTATTCAGCCATAAAAGTTGAAGTACTGATACAACCAGCAATGTGGATAAACTTAGTAAGCATGCTAAGTGGGAAAAAAAACAGATACAACAGGTCACATATTATATAGTCCAGAGTAGGCAAATCCATAGAAACTTTATAATTTCTTATATTATGAGTGATGTCTGATTTTTCCTGTAAGAATTTTGTACAGGGTCTATACTTACTCATTGGTTTTATCAGTCCATAACATAGAGAGCCCACTGAATCAGTTAAGCTTTTTATCAGATTATCAGAGAAGTAAGATAACCAGGATAAGTATATGTGTATCTGTAAATATATGTACATATGTGCTAACTCACTTCAGCCATGTCTGACTCTTTGTGACCCTATGGACTGTAGCCCACCAGGCTCCTCTGTACATGGGATTCTCCAGGCAAGAATGTGGAGTGGGTTGCCATTTCCTCCCCCAGGGGATCTTCCCAACCCATGGATTGAACCCACATCTGCATTGGCAGCCGGGTTCTTTACCACTAGCTCCACCTGGGAAGTTCATGCATATATATATATATATAGGCATTGATCATAAAGGTTTAACCTTATATAACTATGGAAACAGAAGAAACAGTGCATGTGAGGTTTAGTGTCTGAATCTATGCTGGAACCTGATACCACAGGCAGATGTTTGGGAAGAGAAGATGGCTGTGGAGTGAGGAAAGGCCAGCTGCCTGTGCAGATGCAACAAGGCCAAACTGCAACCTGCAAGTCTGAATTGGGACCCTCAAGAATGAACTGGAACATGTATTGGTTCCTTATTGCCTGCAAGTTTCAAAGTTTGATGCTAAGGGTTTTCTTCAGGAGAAGCTGCTGCCCCTTTGTCACACTGCCAAACACAAAACTGAGCTGAGAGTTGGAAAACTCGGAACAGGAGATACAATAGAATCTGGAGGAGTTAAGTACCTGGCTGCTGCCACTCTCTAGCCAAGAAGTCAGGGGGCAGCACCTCTGGCAGGAGCTGCAACAGTACCTTGTCTGCACCAACCTTCTCAGCTCCAGAAGCCAGCTAGGATTTCCTTTGCACTTCTGAGCCTGGGCTTGAGCTGATTGCATGAAGAAAAGGTGGATTCTGGGAAATGTCCCAGCTTAGCTAAATTGACACAACACAAATCTCCCACAATTACCAGGAACACGTATGGGAGAAATGAGTAAAAAAGTGCAAGAAACAATGCTTCAGTGAGCATTTTTGTGCTTTTCTTGCCTGCAGAGTGAATGAGAAGTATTTTGTAAGACCAGAAAATGGATTGGACACTCAACTAGCACTGTTGTTTCATTATATCTTCACTAGATCTCTATGATGCAATTTTTATATTTATATATTTTATAATTATGATTTTTATTACCATGACAAAGATGAAGTGACAGGTGCACCGATTGTTAAATAGCAATAGGTACTTAGTCTCCGTAACAAATAACCCAGCTAGAAAACCAGATTTAGATCTATCCCATTATAAAGCCCCTGCTCTGTCTACTGTACCACACTGCCCCCAGCAGGCTCACCTTGACCTCCATTTTGTGTATAGTGAAGTTTTCTGCTTTTTTCTCCTCTATCTTCTTCCTTGACTCTCCCCTGCCAAAAAAAAGGAGCATCCGTTTCCTCCTACTACCATTATTATGGAAGATCCAGCTTTTTCAGTGATGTACCCATCAAACGTGTTATGAGGCTCGGCATCAGAAAATAGGGCCTTTCCTTTTATTCTCTAAGTATATTATTCTATCCATCCTGGTCTCTGTGCTCTGGCCTTTGCTATAGAATCCACTTCCATCCCCTACTACCAATAAGCCGCTGCTGCTGCTGCTAAGTCACTTCAGTCGTGTTCAACTCTGTGCAACCCCATAGACGGCGGCCCACCAGGCTCCCCCATCCCTGGGATTCTCCAGGCAAGAACACTGGAGTGGGTTGCCATTTCCTTCTCCAATGCATGAAAGTGAAAAGTGACAGTGAAGTTGTTCAGTCATGTCCAACTCTTAGCAACCCTGTGGACCGCAGCCTACCAGGCTCCTCCGTCCATGGGATTTTCCAGGCAAGAGTACTGGAGTGGGGTGCCATTGCCTTCTCCGACCAATAAGCTACCATGAAAAATGAGAAATTTTTGTCTATTTGTTTGTTGATGAGTCATACAAATCTCCGTCAAAAAGTATGTCGTTTTGCCATTACCAAAATACTTGGTACTATCACAAAAAGGCTTAATATATACTTCATGTGGCAAAGAAGATAAGATTAAAGAATTGTGTACATCATTTGCCTAAGATGAGATGTAAAATGTTAGTAGCTAATTTTTTTTTAGCACTTTAGAACATGGTTCTGAGCTATGAGTTTTATATTAATTCTCTTTTTAATCTAAGTGAACACCTAATGGAAGAAGTAATTATATACTGAGATTTCTTTTAATAAAAAAAAAAATCTGAGACTTAAAGAAGTTACAAAAACCTGCTGAAGGACATAGATAGTGAGTTAGATCCATCTGATCTTAGAGCTTGATCTTAATTATTATGAAATGTTAAATTATGAAATCATGAAAGGTTTAAAAACTCCCTAGAAAATCCCTTCTATTATTTAACAAATATCCACTGAGTCCCTTCTAAGTATTCAAGTAATAATAGCAGGTTAAAAACACCACAGCATGGGATATAATGAGAAAGAGATAGGAATACCAGACTACCTGAACTGCCTCTTGAGAAATCTGTACGCAGGTCAGGAAGTAACAGTTAGAACTGGACATGGAACAACAGACTGGTTCCTAATAGGAAAAGGAGTACATCAAGTCTGTATATTATCACCCTGCTTATTTAATTTATATGCAGAGTACGTCATGAGAAACTCTGGACTGGATGAAACAAGCTGGAATCAAGATTGCCAGGAAAAATATCAATAACTTCAGATATGCAGATGACACCACCCTTACGGCAGAAAGTGAAGAACTAGAGAGCCTCTTGATGAAAGTGAAAGTGAAAGAGGAGAGTGAAAAAGTTGGCTTAAAGCTCAACATTCAGAAAACCAAGATCATGGCAACCGGTCCCAACACTTCATGACAAATAGATGGGGGAAAAGTGCAAACAGTGGCTGACTTTATTTTGGGGGGCTCCAAAATCACTGCAGATGGTGACTGCAGCCATGAAATTAAGACACTTACTCCTTGGAAGGAACGTTACGACCAACCTAGACAGCACATTAAAAAGCAGAGATATTACTTTGCCAACAAAGGTCTGTCTAGTCAAGGCTATGGTTTTTCCAGTAGTCATGGATGGATATGAGAGTTGGACTATGAAGAAAGCCGAGAGCCAAAGAATTGATGCTTTTGACCTGTAGTGTTGAAGAAGACTCTTGAGAGTCCCTTGGAGTGCAAGGAGATCCAAGCAGTCCATCCTAAAGGAGATCAGTCCTGGGTGTTCATTGGAAGGACTGATGCTGAAGCTGAAACTCCAATACTTTGGCCACCTCATGCGAAGAGTTGACTCATTGGAAAAGACTCTGATGCTGGGAGGGATTGGGGGCAGGAGGAGAAGAGGATAACAGAGGATGAGATGGTTGGATGGCATCACCAACTCCATGGACATGAGTTTGGGTGAACTCCAGAGTTGGTGATGGACAGGGAGGCCTGGCGTGCTACAGTCCACGGGGTCACAAAGAGTCGGACACGACTAAGCGACTAAACTGAACTGAACTGACAATCATAAGAAATTTTTTGTATTCTAATAGCTGTCTTTAAAGTTAGTTTCTGAAAGACATAGTAACATTTGATGAATGAAAGCCTTTTTGAAAGATCTCGCCAAAAGTTTGTTGATTTTGTTTTAGTAGGCAGGACTTAAGTAAGTCTTACAACTGCAGGTTTAATTGATTGAAGTTTTTGAATTCACGTTTTCTCTGCAAATTTTATGTACACAAAACAAGCTACCAAAAAACAAAAGGTTTTATTTTCATAAATTTTACCTCTTTGATACAGTGCACTGTGAAGATAGGGACCACAGAATAAGAGACTCCAACTTAAGCTAGCAAAACACTCGTGGAGATTCTGCTGCTAGGACAGCAGGTCCTCTCTCAGACTATTTCATTTTGTGCTTTTGCTATTTGTGCTATCATTTCCACTCTCTCTTTTACAATATTCTTTTTTCCTTTTTATCTTAGATCTTTAGTGTTTCTACAGTGGAAAGGCTATGAACTTCTACTGGACTGGGAAATTACATTACTTAGAGAATGCAGAGCACAAGAATACTGGAGACCTGGCCAATGTGATCTTCTCTAAGGTCTGTTATCTATTTTTTTTTCCACACCACATATCAGATTCTTGATGGCAATTGCCAGTGGATTGCCAGTCCACTCTGTCTAGGATTCTACTAGAGTGACTCTTTAACCTAGAGCTTATTTGATACAGTAGTCACAGAGGTGCCTCCTCCACGACATAGGATAAGGAATGTATCTGGTTTAACATGCTTTTGTGGATATTGCATTATGTATGACAGGCAGATGGGTTCTGATACAGATATCAATTCCTCCTTTACTATATGAATTAATTTGGTTTGGTGTGACTCAGCATAATCTTTTTAATGGTAGAGGTTTTGTTTTCTTTGTACAGGATCTATTCCTCTTTCTTGTTTTTGTTTGATTTTCTTTAAATGTTATTACTGAACTCTTATTTTGCAAGTATACTTAAATTTTTACTTAACCCATTGAATTGCTTAAAGGGAAGTTACTACCTTCAATATTTCCAAAGGTGAGCTACTACCAGTTATCCCTTGCCATGGAGATAGGTCCTAAGTACCTGGGCTCCGTGTCTTTCTGTGTGCTTATTTCCCCTTTTAATCCTGATGGTCTGTGTCTTGTCTGTGCTGGGGTGGGACTTTCCATGTATTGAATGGCTACCTGTACTACCTCTCCCTTTCACAGTAGTCTTACAGATGGTATGATTACATCTGTTTTACAAATAAAAAAGTAAGACTCCAAGAAGACTTTTCTAGGGCCACACACCAGGAATTAAATCTATATCTATGTGACTTTAAAGCTCAGAGTGATTTTGAGTGAGAAAAGTAACTATTAGAATGGCAGGAAATATATAATTGTCTTAAAGTGTGAGATTCTGCAACTGGACTGTTTGGGCTCAAATCATGGTTCCACCTTTACTATCAAACTAACTTTGAATAAGTTACTTAAACTTTCTGAGGCATAGTTTTCTTCATCTGTAGAATGGACATCATTATATTAATTAACTTTCTGGACTAGTGTGGAGACTAAATATACTGCAGGTGACATCAATGTTTAATACAGTGGCTGGCATGTGGGAAGAGTTCAATATATGCTGGCTGCTATTATTTTTAAACTGAAACTGGTTTATTAGCAGAACTGTTGTTATCATGATGGTTATTCTGAAGCATCCATGAAAGTCCTTCGTGACTTTCAAAGGACTATTTGAGTATTGAATTGTTTCATATTCATTGTCATGTAGGGTCATATCTATGCTGGAAAGAAATGAATTGTTTTTAAAATAGTGCTTTCCAAGCTTTGGTAATATTGCTACTTTTTTTTTTCCTGTCTTGACGCTATTCTTAAATACAAGGTGGAGTATTCACCAGTTACCATACAATACATGAAGTAGCCTTATCCGATAAAGCCCTATGCCTGGAAGACAACCTTGGCTTAGGTTTGGCAATTCTAAATGTGAGGATTAGAGTCCAAAATTGACTCCCTGGAAATGCTGACCAGACAGCAGTTAACAAATCACACTCCAGCAGAAAGAGTTCCCGGACAATCTGGGCAGGATCAGGGCTTTCACTTCCCATAAATCTTTCACTGGCCGTTGTCCTTCTTTCTGGGAACCACCGTTATTGTTTTCCATTTTTTCACCCTTCCTCCTCCCCACCCCCCCATTCTCTTTCCTTCCTTTCTTTTCTTCTATTAGGGAATTAAAGCAGATGTCAAAACCAACCCTTTGGTATGCCCTGTATTTTTCATACTGCATGTGCTGTGTGTATATAAACTTGGAAAGTTAGGACTTTAAGGGCAAGGACTTGGTCTGGTCTTGCTCTGAATGGTACCTGAAATTTCCAGAACTTTACACTCGGCCACAGAGTCACTGAGGATGGTCATGCTCTCAAAACAAACATTTATTCACAAATGTTAATCTTAGTGTTCTATGGCATTGGCCATAATACCTCAGATATGTTTGGAGAAAAAATTATATTAAACAAATAACTAAAAAAGAAGTAAAAAATTGGTCCTTAGATTCTGGTTGTAAGGATGATCTCTGCAGAAGAAACAGAAGGCCTGGGTGCCTGGACCAGCACTCTCCTGTCTGCTTTGCTGCACAACACCTATGAACCACTTAAAATACTGACGTTAATCCTAAATGGTCCTTTTTGGATTGGGTATTTCCTTGTGTTTTTCTATACTGGAACATTCCTCACCTTGGTGAGGTGAGTCAGCCTTTCCCTGTTCTCTATTTAGCTCATTAACAGAGTTGCCCCTCTGTCAGTGATTTCCAAATACCAGTATGTGACAACATTTCACCAGTATGAGGTAAAATGAAAAAAAAAAAAAAAGGATAGTGTAGGCCTTTTTATTTGGGATAAATTTATTTAACTAGAAAAGCAATTCAATCTGAGATTATGTAATTCCTATTTCATGAAAAGATCTGCAAAAGATGAAAATCAAGAAGCCATGACTTTCAACTTTAGGAAATGTAAAATGGAGAGTTTCTCTACTCCACATATGATATGTGCATGTGTATATGTGTGTGTTATGGCCAGACACCCACCTCAAGGGGCCATGTGACTGGACAGTCTCTTGAAGGAGGCTTCTAGTGGGGACTCCATGGGACATGTTAGCAGCAGTCAGATGATTGCTAAAGCAAAGGAATTCCTGAAACCGAAAAGGTACCTATTCCATCTTTATAGACAAATCTTTGATATCGTCATTGCTCTTTGGAATGTATTATCTTCCTCTAAGCTGTATTTGGTGTCCCTCTTAACCTGATTTCACCTGAATAAAATTGTTTCATAAGGATAGCCTTGATGAAGAGTCAACAACTTAAAACAGGAAATAAAGGAAAAAAAATACTGTGATGCTGTTCCTCATAATAGTGGTTCTTTAAATGAACACCACGGCTCAAGTTTTTTAGAAAAGAGAATACACAGCAAGACTTGATTGATGATGCTTTTTTGGGAAGTGCAATCTCAGGATATCAAAAGAGAGAGGTAAAAGGAAGTGCTTACACACATCATCATCTCAATAGAAATAAAACAAGTTAATGATCTAATTAAAATTTTGCTTTTAAGTGTCATTTTTGGATGTCCTTAGTAATTCCATAGTAAAACAATGAATGAAGTCCTCAGAAGGTGAATGGTCCAGGTCTGTGTGTCTGTGTAGTTGAGGAGTGGCAGAGCTGGATTCAAAATCAGGTTTAGCTCCTGAACTAATTGGTTTTCATCATTCCTGCAGATTGGTGGCATAGGACTTTTAGAAAAATATCTGGTACAAAGATTTTTACTCCAGTTTTAGAGAAAGAGGACATAAATGCATTGGAGAGTCTAGTAACCTGTCTAAAAACAAACTAGCAAACTGAGTCCAACAGAGTGTAAAAAGAATTTTATAGGAAATTCCCTGGTGGTCAAGTAGTTAGGATTTGACACTTTCACTGCTGGGGCCTGGGGTTTGATCCCTGGTCAGGGAACTAAGATGTCGCAAGCTGGGCAGCACAGCCCAAAAAAAAAGATTTTTATACCTTTTCCAAAGAGGATTTATTCCACATGTGCAAAGATAGTTCAGCATTTGAAATCAAATGGTTATACTAGGTGTAGAAAAGAAATTGAAACAATCAAAGACACTTGCTCCTTGAAAGAAAAGTTATGACCAACCTAGGCAGCATATTCAAAAGCAGAGACATCACTTCATGGCTAAAAGATGGGGAAACAATGGAAACAGTGAGAGGCTTTTCTTTTGGGGGCTCCAAAATCATTGCAGATGATGACTTGCAGCCATGAAATTAAGACACTTACTCCTTGGAAGAAAAGTTATAACCAACCTAGACAGCATATTAAAAAGCAGAGATATTATTTGCCAACAAAGGTCTGTCTAGTCAAGGCTATGGTTTTTCCTATAGTCATGGATGGATGTGAGAGTTGGACTACAAAGAGAGCTGAGCGTCAAAGAATTGATGCTTTTAAATTGTGGTGTTGGAGAAGACTCTTGAGAGTCCCTTGGAGTGCAAGGAGATCCAACCAGTCCATCCTAAAGGAGATCAGTCCTGAGTGTTCATTGGAAGGACTGATGCTGCAGCTGAAATTCCAATACTTTGGCCACCTGATGTGAAGAGCTGACTCATTGGGGAAGACCCTGATGCTGGGAAAGATTGAGGGCAGGAGGAGAAGGGGACAACAGAGGGTGAGACGGTTGGATGGCATCACCGACTTGATGGACATGAATTTGAGTAAACTCTGGGAGCTGGTGATGGACAGGGAGGCCTGTCGTGCTGTAGTCCATGGGGTTGCAAAGAGTCGGGCATGACTGAGCAACTGAACTGAGCTGAATGCTCATTCAGAATGAAAAAAAAAAAAAACTTTACCATTTATTTTAACATTGTACTAAAAGTCCTAGCTAATACATTAAGATGAACCTATTTGTAGGGAAGGAAAGGAGATGCATATGTAGAGAATGGACATGTGGGCCCAGAGGAGGAAGGAAAGGGGAGAATGAATTGAGAAAGTTGCATTAAGATAAAAAAGGAAGTAAAAGGTATACAAATCAGGATGGAGGAAATAAAATGTCTTTGTTTGCAGGCAACTTGATTATTCATGTAGAAAGTCCAAAAGAATTGACCAAAAATTGTCTGGAGTCAATATGCAATCATAGCAAGTTTGCAGGACACAAAGTTAATTTACAGAAGTCAGTTTCTTTTCTATATCCCCAGCAATGAACAAGTAAAATTTGAAAGTAGAAACAAACCTTTATATTGAAACCTCAGTGAATATTTAGGTATAAATCTAACAAAATATGTACAAGAGTTTTAGAGACAAAATACAAAACTGATGAGAAAAATCAACTAAATGAATAAATTAAGAGTTGGTCTATATTCTTGGTGGTAGTTGTTTCTGACTCTTGCAGGCCTATGGACTGTAGCCTGCCAGGCTCCTCTGTTCATGGGATTCTCTAGTCAAGAATACTGAAGTGGGTTGCCATTTCCTTCTCCAGAGAATCTTCCCGACCTAGGAATCAAACCCAGGTCTCCTGCATTGCAGGTAGATTCTTTATCGAC